CCCACTATAAATTTCTCTCAACATGCAAGCTATCCACATCAACAATCTACTAGAACTTGCAATTGTAGTCAACTAGCACATGTATGTATACTCTTATAAAGCTAAACCCCACTAGAGATTTCTCTCAACATGCAAGCTATCCACATCAATAATCCACTAGAACTTGCAATTATAGCCAACTAGCACATATAATTACGATAGTTATCTCTTCATCCACTAACATGCATTTAGTTGTCCATATTGATATGTCAAACCATTCACCAAAATTAATTTAAGATAGTTTCATTTATATAACTATAAATATAAATAGTCTAATTTCTTTTTAAATTATCGGGAATTCCCGCAGCAACGTGCGGGGTATTATCCTAGTTACTTTTGAAATATATGGCTTTAATTAACACGATTGTGTGTTACATAAAAACAAAATTTTAATAGTTTTAAAAAATGTTATGGACTGTGAAGCATTACTCACGGTAAATGTAAAGCTCGAGAACTCCTATCGCGGGGACATGCAGCACAACGCATTCTACTCCGTAACACATAGGAGCTGTCACACGCTAATGATCAATCAGTGCCGTGCATGCAGCACGTTCTACCTCTATATATGGTATTCTCCTCATCTCGCGCTCAAGTCCATGATGAGTGTGTGTGGATAACTGCCACCGTTGCAAGGGGCCCAATTGTTGACCAAATGCATTTAGGATTTAGCCATGGCTTTACATTACTCGATGGACGGTAAAGCATTTGGATGTAAACGCACACTATGCAGTATAAGAAGTTGCTGGATCTTAAAACTAATCATTTTGGAGTCAAATATCGTATCTTGAGATGTATCATGCATTTTTGCTACAAATAAATGTTTCCATTTTTTTGTTGAAATATAAATAATTGATCATGCTTTATATTTCACATCTGCGTGTTCTCTGTCTTTGTTTTGTCTAGATTGATCAAAGAGTGCAATCAGCAAATATCATATATACAACTTGTATATGTATGGACGCTGTGTTTATAAGGCTAAAAATAGGGTTGTAGAGCAAGCAAAAGGTTGGTATGAGAAAGCCACGGGATGGAAGGTTGAAAATGATGGTCACGGGTGAGATTCTGGCATGATATGTGGTTAGAATGTCCTTTAAGGATTTTGTATCCAAGGCCGTTTAGGATAAATAGACAACAAAATTGGTCAGTAGTTGATACGAAGAAGGAAGAGTGGAACTTGGAGTATAGGAGAAACATTGAAGACGAATATGTAGAGGAATTGGAGAAACTAATGGTATCTTTGGAAAATGTGGAGTGTGGCTAGTGAGGAGATTAGGGTTATATGGAAGCTTAGAGCCTCTAGCAAGTCCTCCATAAGATCTCTCTCTCTCTCTCTCTCTCTCTCTCTTTCTCTCTCTCTCTCTCTCTCTAGGTTGATGACATTTGGATGGGTGGTTGCTCAAAGAATGAAAGATATTTGGGAGACTAGATTACCTCTGAAAATAATCTTTTGTGTGCATGATTTGGAACAACATAGTGCAAACTGGTGAGCAAATGAAGAGGAGAAAGTGGAAAGGGAGCTTTCTTCCTTTTTATTCCCACAAAATAAAATACGAATATTCTTGACATGTAGGTTGATTTAGTTCTACCATGAGTTGAACTTAAAATCTGACCAGGTTTGACTACTATAGACTCAGCTGTCACCGCCCTCATTATCACTGTCGATTATGTAATAACTCGTGGTGAAACTGTGTCACCGACGACTAGAGAGGGACGGTGGTGCCTAGAGTGCAATCAAACCAGAGGAGAAAACATCTACCACCGATGGGTGACCGTTGGATCAGGCGGTGATGCTGGGGTTTCTTCTTGCCACCATATTATACGTTGGGCCGCCTTTAATAGCCGTTATGGTCATCGGCACGAAAGCAACGTTTGGTGGTACCAGCGATCCACATTCTACGTGACTGTTGAGTAATGTCCCAACTACCAACATGCTTTCATTACCATTACTTCCGCTAGGAGAAGCCGAAGAGGCTCACCTAGTGCTCTACATATTCTTCATGTCCACCTCTTTGAAACCACCCTTCTTCCTTGTTCACCCCTTCTTCATGCAACTTCAAGCATGTCGGCAGACAGCTACTTGAAGCTTTCGAGCAACAACAACTCGTCCACCGACGAGGACGAGCTGGACCTCAAGCGACGACGACTCTAGTGACTATAGTTCTCCCGATCGGAGTCCTCCCTAGACCTCCGAGGAGGAGGAGGACGCCTTTGGGCCCTCGAAGTGGTCGGAAGACGATGACGAAGCCGATCCCGAAGACGACGACGAAGATGACGGCGGCAGCACCGACAAGGATCCAAGGATCATTCATGCCCGCACTGTAGCAAGACAACAAGGAGTTAAGTATTGTATGTGTATGTGGTCGTCGACTGACTGCAAGCGGCGCGCGGTTCCCTTCCAAAATCCAAACGTTGTTGCTTGTCTTGAGGAGTGTGGACGATGCCTTGCCTGGGATTGGATTGGTTGATACGGTGGCTACTTGACCTTGATCATCAGCTAGATTACTACCCCATTTCGGCTGAGGTGAGCTGAGCCTTCAGGTTCATTCATGCTTCGGATGGGTGGCCACTGGGCATCCCGCGGCGTGGCCGCCTATGCCCATGTCGTCTGCAGGAACGACTGAACGAGCCTGCAGGACGCATCAGGGACTGGCAGGCAAGGAAGGAGCCGTCAGCTTCGGATGTCAACGTCCTTGCACGCTGCGTGAAGCCCATGTCCTGAGCAAGCACGCACCAGTTAGGAGTACGTCATTACGTGTATCCCCAGTTATCTCCCAACCCATCTCTGAACTCCCTCTCTGACCTGAGTTCCTGCTCTCTTTCCCTCAGTTTTCCTCTCAAATCCTATCAGCTGGTAGCCTGGTAGAGTGAGCATGTCTATCCGAATCTTTACAGGTTCGTAACATATACAATATTTCTGTAAATTCTTCATAACGAGAATTATTTTAAATCCTTTTTTTATTAATAATTAGAAAACGTTAAGTGCCACACCCTATGCATTCAACTAACTTTGCATGGTGTATGCGATCCATCGAATGTCTATGGCCATTACCTCCTCCTCCTCGGTCCCCGACAGCCACCTTGGGAAGTAACGCCACCGTAACTGCAGCTTGGGTCACGCACCACGGCGTGTGCAAGCGTACATCTGATGCAGGATTTCTTGGGTGGGGGATGTGAGGCGGAGTTTTTGGTGCTGGTGATTGGGGGCGGAGTAAAGGAGAAGCGGACCCTCCGCTGCGCAGCCGCTGGGGGCGGGGTGGCCGTGGTTTCCTCGAGATTCAGCTGGAGCGAGCCAACGATGACCGAGCTTAGGCGGGGGCGTGCGGGGCTCGCGGGGGCGCTGGAAGAACGGATTCCGCCCATCCCGGAGCTTTCTGGCGACTCGGCTGAGGGAGCTGGAGGCTCGTGGGTGGTGGGAGGCAGTGGGGGGCCGGTCCCGGCGGCGGATCTGGGCGCCGCCGCTGGGGGTCGGGGCTGGGAAGGACGAGCCTAACGGATTCCTTGGCTTCACTGGTATTCCTAGCATAAATTATTGAGAAAACACTATCCCAAGTAAGACGATCATCTAGTTTTACTTAAAAGTACAGAAGAAGTTTTGTATGTCTTATATAAAATTAATTATACTATTTTGCTCAATTATGTCAGGAAAACTTCATTACCAAATACTATGAGGTTGAGACGAATCAGAATAGTTTACTGTTGAAAACATTTTGGCTTCAAAGTGCATTTAATATGACAGGAGAGATAATAGAACAGGTCATATTCCATAAGTGTAGAGGTACAAACCATGTGTGGTTGATTCCACAGGGCTGTTTGCACTGTATGATACCACGTGCACTTCGGGCCTGTTTGCTTGTGTCCCAGGCAGAGTTGCCTGGCAGGGCTGCAAGCAAACAGCCCTTTCGTAATTTGTGCTAGAATCTTCTCGCAGCGGTGCATTAAAAAAACCCGTAGAGTTTCCAGGATATCTGCGAAAATTCAATATATTAAGGCACAGTAAGTAACATCAAAACGAATCATATGCCTTTGTCATACTATGGATAAAGATAAGCTGGGGTTATAAGCAACTTGCCTGAATGTCCAGACCAATGCAGTCCAAGTCCAGCTTGCTCTGTCATTTGCTCCGTGTGCAATGTGTGAGGTACATAATCATCATGGGTTATGGTAATGGAATCTGCCAGGACACGTACATCATTTTTTTAATCAAAACAAATGTAAAACAGATTAGTGTATTTATGGCAGTTGGACAAACGTTTAAATAAGCCAGTTATATATCTTATAAAGCACTTGCTAATTTTTCTCTCAAGTGAACTGTCAAAGATAAATATATTTTTTAAGCCATTATTTTGATTTTTTAAGATCAAATAGTCAGTATGCTTACATTTTACCCACTTCTATCAACACAAAAACTTGCAAATGTGGACAAAAATGGGCCTTTATAACGGGCAGGGCCATCATGTGGTTTGCTAAAGCATACAAGTTTGCATACTCACATTTAATTACTTTTCACCAAGTAGGACAAATTGATGTCATGCCAATTTAATACAAGGGTAAATGATTGAGAATATTTACGTTGTTATATGCATTTTTGCATTGAAGTTATTATTCTAAAAACAAGGGGAGACGTAACAGAAGTACAGAACTATCAGTCACAGTTTGCTGAATCTTGGCTGAAAAACACTATTCCGGCTGAATTGTTGTGAAAGAAAAATACTGTTCCGGCTGAAAAAACAAGCCGAACAGGCCGAATATGGGGTAAGCCGAACGGGGCCTCAAAGGTGAAAAGATGCAAACCATGCACTGTTACTCCAACAGGATCGTTTGCACTGTGTAATACCATGTGCTCTTCATAATTTGCACGAGAATTTTCTAGTGGTATTAGTCCACTACAAACAGAAGAATCTGCCAGGATATGAAGGCACGGTAAGTAACTTGAAAAAAAAAATGATGTGCCTTTGCCATTCTTATAGATAAGGATAAAATGAGGTTACAAGGTATTTGCCTGAATGTCCAGAACAGTTGAGTCCAACTTGCACTGTCACTTCTGTTTCCAAAGCATGAGGTGCATGATCATCTTGAGGTATGGTGGTAAGTTCTGTCAGGTCAATTACAAGTTTTCATTAAAATTAAGACAAATATAAATACAGATCAAAATATTGATGGAAGGTGATAATGGATGTAATAAGCCAAATGATCTATGCATATGGCTATGGAATCAAGTGTAATTTTACAAATATTTTTTAAAAACACAGTATTGTTGATATTAAAAGTTTGCAATGATCTCATGATGACACGAACCATGTGATCGCCGTGGTTTTACAAAAGTCTCTGGATTCCATAAAATGACTTCATCGGAGCTGTCTAAAAGGGGAAAAAAGAGGGAAAACAGTACAGAAAAATAATTAGTTAGGCAAGAAGATGCAAATAAAGAGAAATAAAGTGTCTATTAGAAAAAATAGTACCATATATTCTAGTTGTTGAGATGTCCACAGGCAAAATACACAGATCATTTGATTCGATATGAGCTCCTTCAGATGAATTATTTTCTGGGTACACATGATTCATCAAGGATAAACCTGTACTTTTTGTTGAAAATGATTCAGTTTGATGAGCATCAGTATCACAGCCAGTAGAACTGTTCTCCATGGTAATGAAGGATGCAGGAGTTGAGGGTTCAGTGTTTGGTCCAACTAGCTCCTTTTCAATAGATGTTGGTGAAGATTCAGTGATAACATAGCAATCATCGTTATTTGGCACCTCATCATCAGTAAAGGGACCATAAAATATTGCATGAACATCTTCAATGAATTCAACAGCCTTATCATGAGCCGAATCAAGATACTTGATCGGGAGCTGTCCATAAATGGGGAAAGTTAGTAACAAAGCATTATCAAGAAAATCCTATGTTGCGTTCGAATATCCAAATATGTGCAAACTGAAAAAATCATGTTAAACATCAAACTTATGAGAAGGAACTACTACTACCTCCATGAACTTTTTCACATTTTCCTCAAATCCGTTAAAACCGATGCCCATGTCGAATCCACCCATATGTGAAAAATTAATATAATCTGAATTAATGCTTCTCGCCATTAGCTTTTTTTTTCTTTCTTTGTCAATAAAATGGTGGAAATGTCCTGTTTCAGAGAACATTGAAAATTCAACATTAAGTACCAACAAACATTGTTAGAGTATAACATACCGTTCTAATTGTAGCAAGTATAAATTTCTACCAGGTTCTAGGAATAAGCTTGATAGCAATCCAGACATCTGATTCAGACAGTCAGGAACAGTAGATGTACTTGTTTAAACTATTCACTGGCATTGAGTGGTAAATGCTAGTTTATTTTACATAATCTGATCCTACATAACTACAATCAATTAACAGGATTCCTGGTCAGAACGATACAATGTGTTTGCAATAACACTAGGCAGTTTACGTCCTGTTTCTAAACTCTAAAGGCATGCGGTTCTTCCATATCAAGTCATGTTTGCAGGATAGAATGTGCAAATTAGGATGACACTGGTGTCTGAACCTTCAGACAAGTTGTACTAATCCCTAGCTGAATTTAGCAAAGTGTGGTACCTGTCATTCACACAACCTACAGTGGACAGTTCTGCTCAAACAAAGCTTGATGAGACTAAGACTGAGCAGAACAAAAGGGTTGATTTTTATCATCGAACCGTTGGTGAAACCTCAGGCAGATTATTTAAACGAGCAAAGATTATCTGATCCCCTCTCCAATCGACCCCAAAATTAAGTAATGAACCAGTAGCATCCAAGCACCCAACCAAACGAATCATCAAACCAAAGCATAGTCCTTACAGAACCCCAGTAAAAGAGCATCATACTGCCCTAAAACTAAAAGGAGCCGAACTTGGTGGGAACCAAGAAGAGATGAACCTAATCGCGCCGCGACGACGAATAACCAATCCAACGAGAACGAAAAGCGCTCGCTTATGGAACCGAGGTAGGGGTAAAAAAGGAAGAACTGAAACCCGCACCTTCCGTCGCCGGCCGCCGGCGACGAGTGAGCTCTCGAAGCCGCCGTCTAGCCTTTTCGGGGAAGAAAGAAGAAGAAAACAACAAACGAAGTCGCTAGGGAGCTGAGTGGATGTTGTACAAAAAAGTGGCCAAGCGCGAATCTTTTGGAGCACGAACTCCTCTCCCGGGCCTGACGCCTGTGCGGCCGCAGTTGGTGTAGTTTCAGAGGCGAACAGAACGCACTCCCGAAATCTTGTCAAATTAATTAATGCCGTCGGTTATTTTGTAGTGCTATGATTAATCCAGTGATCTCTGGGGCCGGTCTGCGCCGTTGGTTACCCGAACTTGGAATCCCCGTTGAGGAGAGGGACACAAACTCTGGTTTTCTCCCTTTCTACGAGCAGGAAAAGGACTCACTGTGATGGTAACATACAGTACTACATGCACATATTTTCTTTTTTCTGGTGGAAACAATTCGATTTCAAGAAAAGTTTCTGGGTGCCTGATTCTAGTTCTAGGAGTCTCAACCCTCGATGTTGGATGGACCAAAAGAAAACACTGTAGGAGTATAAACAGAGCTTTGTGACTACTAGGGTGACGAAAATGACGAGTACTTTAACAGGGTATTGAAGGAAAGCGAGTGAAATGCCTGTAAAGAAACGGATAAGGATTCAGTGACTTTGCTTCATAAAGTCACGCCGTAACTTTCGCTTCATCCTGTGCGTTCAATGTCGATCCAAGGCCTCTTAGCCATTAAGGCAAAAATAGCGTCGCGTGAGGAACCGAGGAAGGCAGCCGGAGCAGATGCATACGCGCTGTCTCGCGCCTCGCTGCTGTCTAGCTCGCGCTGTCGGCTGTCCGGCCAGCGCGTGGCCTCGGCACTCAGCCGCGAAGCTCCACTGCATCGCCCCGGTCGTTCTCCTCCACGTCGCTTGGCCCTGAAGGTCACCGCATTGCCCTCGTCATGCTCCACAGCTCCGGTGAGATGTTGGAGAAACTCAGCCGCGCCGCCGTTCGTCCACGCGTTCACGCCGCCAGCTCTCCTGCGACGCGCCTTGCCGCCGTAGACCTCCTGTGTCGCGCGCCGCCAATGGGACGCGTCATGGCCGGACGACCACGGAGGAGCTAGTTCGGCGGCCGCCGGCCAGGCGCAGGGAGCGCCTCGTCTGCTGGCCGTGAACTGCAGTCTGCAGCATCAGCCGTCCCGGGCGCGGCCTCGCCTGCTGACCCAAGACCCGAGCCAGCATTCAACGGGTAGGCTTGGTCCACGTGCGCTGCCGTCCATCGATTGTCGCTGGAGTGCCAGTGGCGCGGGCGCAACCTCCCCGTTCCGCCGTTCTGCGCTGGGGCCGCCGTTCCAACTCCTACCTCGTGTCCTCTCCTGGAGTGCGCCTCTTGGAAGGAGACCCATCGTCACGGCGCCGGCTGCCCCACTCACTGTGCCGACCTTTGCTCCAGCCGCGGCCGCCCGCTCGCCACGCCACCCTCCGCACTGGCCGTGCACGCACACAGTGCTGGCCGCGAGCTCGCCACGCCAGCCGCGCAGGTTCGCCGCGCCGCCCTCCGCGATGGCGGCGCTCGCTCGCCGCATCTCATGTCTGCGACGGCCGCCGCTCGCTGTGCAGTTCTCCACAACGGTCTCACGCGTTCGCTGCATGTCGTGCCTGCGATGGCCGCCCGCTCGCCATGCCCTGTGCCCACACGCCGGCCAGCCACTCGCCACGCCACCCCACGCGCTGGCCGCTCGCTCGCCGTGCCTTGTGCCCACATGCCGGCCGGCCACTCGCACTCGCCACGCCACCCCACGCGCTGGCTGCGAGCTCACCACGCCAGTCGTACACACTTAGCTGCGCTGGCCGTAGACCTCCTGCTCGCACGCCGCCAATGGGACGCAGCAGGGGGGAGGCCCGGACGACCACGGATGAGCTGGTTCGGTTCATTACGATGGTGAACAGTAGGAAGAGCATGAGGTTAGCCTCCAGGCCTGCCGGCGCGGCTGCCGCAGTCACGACTGACAACTCCGGCGCGTGGTCCAGTATCGCTCTTCCAGCACAGGATGGCGGTGGTGGCGCGGCGCAGGAGGGCTGCAACAACGCAGCGCGCGGTGCCGGACGGCTGCAGCGTCACGGCGCGGCGCGCGGTGTAGGACTTGGGCAATGGAGATACGAGGTGCGGGAGGGCAGCGGGCGGCGGCTGCAGCGGCTCATCGTAGGGGGCTCAGCGTGAAAAGGTGAGGCAAGTTTCTTTGAGCCATCGGATGATCGGATGTTGCTTCGACGTCGGATACATACCCGAAAGTTACGTTGTGACTTGCAAGAGCAACGTTACCGAATCTCAGTCCCAAAGAAACGCCCCGGCACACGACGCGATTGGAATGGCACCAGGAGCCCAGGAGAGCTGCCTTCCAGGCTTTTTTGGCCCTGGCCCCACGTTGATACCAGTGGACCAAATTGTGCTTGGCTTCATCTTGTCTGGCCACAGTTTCACTGGAGAAAACTTGGCCTACAAGTGCAAAGCTTACATCAGCAATGCAGAGAGCATCAAGTATATCCAATTAACCATTATCCTGAACAGAATATCTGATATATGAACACACGAGTAAACAACGAATTAAACATGGGAAACAAAAGGCACTGAATCGAGAAACAGAATGACCCACATACATAACAAGTTAATTTTTCACTTTTGCCCGAGCCTGAAACCATGTCTCATGCACTGTGCCTTGCCACAAGCTATGACCACAAACAGTTCCACATGCTACCCCATGTCTCATGCACTGTGCCTTGCCACAAGCTATGAACCACAAACAGTTCCACATGCTACCCACAGGGGCATAGCTTTACCTTACACGAAAACTACAATTATTATCACGGCAATATAAGTGAGGAACAACTCTAGAGACCTATGGCTCAACGGTCGTCACTTGCTGCCATTCGCCATCCACAGCTTCCTTCCACAGGGTCACATTGTTGTTGCCGTCAGACACCGCCAGTATGTTCCCAGTCAGCGACCACGACAGCCTCCACACAGGGGTTCTGAAATCATAAAGCACCCGGCCTTCCCACTGCTCGCCTTCTTTTGCTGCTGTCCAGATAACAACTGTTCCATCCTGAGAGGCGCTGGCAATGGTGGACTTTGGAAGGCCTAGGTTTGGCGCCCACGCAACATCTCTCACCCAGTCCTTGTGCATCTGTAGGGCAGGGAAACAGTCCATCCGCCAACTCCCATTGTTGAGCTTCCACACCTTCACCGTGTTGTCGCAGCCACCAGAAGCGAGTTTCTGAACATACTCAAACTGACCAGAAGATCCTGCACTGATTAGAGCTCCCGGTGCCATTGCTGGAGCCCATGAAACTGAGGTCACACCGACTGGATGCGCCTGGTCAATACGTGTGGTATCCCAACCTCCATCAGAACGAGCAGTGAAGACTGAAATGTTCCCATCTGATGAACCACAAGCCAAGCATAGACCCAGCTCATGAGGGGCCCATGCGATGGAATTCACAGAGGACTTGTGCTCAGCAAAGGTGTGTACCAGTGCCCATTCATCAGGCTTGCTTCCTTCCTTCCAGATGATCACCCGGCCGTCGTAGCTGCAGGATGCGAGCATGGAACCAAACTTAGGATGAGCCCATGCGACTTGCCATACTGGGCCCTGGTGTCCACTCAAAGTTGCAAGCTGCTGGTGCGAGTTTCCACTTACGCCAATGATCTTTATTGTGTTATCAGAGGAGGCTGTAGCTAAGCGCTTCCCATAGTAATCCATGGCGATATCATGCACCACATCTTGATGCCCAGTCTCGATCTTATGGGGTGGCATTGTTCCAACGATCAAACTTTAACTTAACAAATATGACAACCTAATTCTGTGTTCACCACTTCAGTCTCCTATACGATTAAGCGAGGATATTAGATAAATGATAAATCAAAGAATAACGTAAGTACATAAGGTATGCACACTTACTAGCCAAAAAATGAGGCCAGGTTAAACATCATATATTCACATGGAGTTGATGGTATGCCATATTGCAACCACAACAACATCAATGCAAAACACTGATTTTCCACAATTGGGCCAAATTCATCATTTGTCTGATTGCATACTAAAACACAGGATGATTGAGGATACACCACTGAACAATACATTTCATCTAAATTAGCTTATGAAGCTCAGAATACTGGCAATGGTATATCTATTGCAGCATCAGAAAAATAACACCAATCCACCATGTTAGAAAGGTGCATGAATGGTGATGGGAACTTATTTTTGGAAGAAAAGTAGGAAAACACAGTCCAGCATATATGCATAAAATGCAGCAAAAACATTTGGTACAATAACATGGTTTTAACTTTTTAGATTGCAACCCTCTCAAAACCACTTGTATTCATTTTATTAGAAAAATCCGAAATAGACCAAAAAGAGCTTAAACAAACTTCAACAACCGACACAGGGGGCATCCTGAGAGCAAAAGCTGCAGAAGCATGAATGGTGATTGGGAATTATTTTTGGAAGAGAAATGAGAAGACATAGTCCAGCATATACACATAAAATGCAGTACATCTGGTATGATAATGTCTTTTCCACTTCTTTGAAATTTTCAAACCCTCTCAAAACCACATTTATTCATAATTAAGCCCTGAAATAGACCGAAAAGAGCTGAACCAAACTTAAGCAGCTGACACAAGGGTACCCTGCGCAGAAAAACTGCAGAAGAGAGAGGTTGAAGCAAAAAAAATATATGCAGATAGTGGCGTTACTAAATACTAATCTCACGAAAATAACGCACAAACTCAACCACAAACTTCTTAACTTGATGAGAGAGATGCTACCATATAAGGCTGGATTGTTTAGTTCTATTATCTTTTTATGAATCCAAGGCAGCAAAACCAAACTTGTTTTTCAGAAACATCCAGCGCGAATCAATACAATCATACAACACATGGCGACTTGATTTTGAGAACAAATCAAATATTTGCATCTATCGCCAACCAACCTAGCAGCATACGTTTGCAGCAGGAAACGTACAAACAAATACTGGATTCACCTACAGGAATAGCGAACACATCCCGGTCCCGGAGACCCGAAACCGGAGGGATCAAGGGTTGGATCTGCGAAACCCCTAGATATACTACATACCAAACTAATAACAGCGTCCTCCCGAAATCCGTCACTATGCCAACACGCCCCCGTAGGCTTCGCCCCCACGACCTAGGCTGGCTGGGTGTGGTACTAGTACTACAGATCAAAAGATCAATCGATTCGACGCGGGTCAGGAACAGATCACAGGGTACAGTGGAGGGGATAGAAGATTGAGCGGAGAGGTCTTGCCTTACCCGTGGACGGAGGGGGCGAGGATGAGGAGGAGCCGGCGTGCAGGGAGGACCGGAGGAGGGGATCGCTGCCGCTGCTGCAACGGAAGGAAACAGGCGAGGATTACACGGCGCTAGGCCTATACGGCCTTTTGGGTCAAGCCCATCAAACCGGGCTAGGTTCACAAATGCGATCCGGCGGTCATCTGCCGGGGGTCGTCTTCTAGTCAGGATCCGACTAGGCCCGCACCACCCTGTCTACATGCTCACTCCGCCCGATATTCAGCCGGTTGGCCGGTCCGTAGGTTGCTGGTTTGTGAAGAAATATTATTTATTGGATTGTGTAAGAGAAAAATATTATTTTGGTTGAAAATTTACGATCGTATACGACAAGCATAAGTCAAACAAACAGACTGATTATTTGCTAGGTAAAAGGCCACCTAACCCTCCTCGCTTCCTGCGATAGTCTGTTTTTCCTTCCTGAACTCTAAAATCAGGTAAATCACTTGGGATTCGGATGCGTCTGCCGAACAGTATGCGCGGGAATCACCAAAGGCGGGAACAAGCGCTCGGGAGTCACCAAAGCGCGGGAGTTGGCGGCATACTAGGACCAAGGTACGACGTTACGTTAGTTTTTTTTTCTTTTTATCTTTTTCTTATTTCTTTCTTTTTCTTTTCTTTTCTTTTCTTTTTTCTTTCTTTCTCTTTCTTTTCGTGCTTCATTTTTTATTTTTATTTCTTTTATGTTTTATGTGATTTTTTATTATTCTTTTCATTTTTTATATTTTGTATGTTTCTTTTATTTCTTTTTTCTTTTCTTTTCTTTTCTTTTCTTTCTTTTTCTTTTCTTATTATTTTTTATTTCCTTTCTTCAATTTATCTTTTATTTCTCGTTTCATGTTATTTTTCATTTTTGTTTTTATTTTTTTATTTTCTATGTTTCCTGCACGTAAGTTTCTTTTCTTCACTCGATATAGGCGAGTAGTTGGTTTCTTTTTTTTCTTCTGCTTATTTTCTTCTTAACTAGGGAGTAGGCTGTTACGTAAGTATCTCTTTTTTATTTCTTATATTTTTCTTTTCCTTTTTCTTTTTTATTTTCTATTCTATGTTATTTTACTCTAATTAATTACTTTATTTTTTCATGTACATATTTATTTCTTATTTTTCTATATATTTATCATTTGTTATTCATGTTTTATGTGTGTTTTCTCTTCTTTGCTATTCTTTTCATTTATTATATTACTATTGTTTTTACTATAATTAATTATTTTATTTGTTTATTTTATTTTATTTTTATATTTTACTATTTTTTGTATTTCTTTCTTTTTCTTTTTTATTTTCTCTTTT